TAAACTTTACACATTATATAGGCTATACTAACGTGACGTTTAGGCGGTTCGTTTAACTATTATACGTGATGTACATTTTTGGGGGTTGGTTATGGAAAGTGTTCCAAAACGCGACATTAATTCACAATGAATAATATTTTGAACAGTTTCACGGCATAATCTTAACAATACAGAAGTGATAAGAAAATAATTCTAGCTGACGTACCGTTTGGCGCACGGTGAAGATACGGGGGGGGGGGGGGGGTCAAGGGCATACGCTGACCTTTTATGTCACTTTCCGGGGAGTCATAAGGGTAATTTTGCTAGGTTTGGTGACAATCGGACCAGTTGTTTGCACAATTAACAGCGGACACACACATACGGACTGACTTTTGTCAAACAATGGCTTAGATACTTGGTGTAGTTTCTAACCCTACCTTTTGACTTTGTACCAGTCTCAATAGCCTCTGTTTCCGGGGTAGGTTGAGTTAGGATAACTTGGGCAGGTGGTAGAAGCAACTGTGGTTTGGGAGGGGTAAACGCTGGAGGAGGGGCACTATCTGTTGGTGTCGTCAGTTCCTGAAAATTAAACCAATAACAACAAGTTATTTATGCAAATTGAAACTAAAATGGTACAAATAATATATAGATCATTTCTAAGATAAATCAAAATAATATTTACGTTGATAATAGCAATCACGTATAACAAACTGTTTAGGAATTTTTAACTGTCACATTCAATACGTCACAGATCTAAACCTTGTAACAGTTGGACGGGATTAAACGTTACAGACGGTAGAGGTCTCCTGAAAAAAAGTTGAATTAATTAATCTGGCAAAATGATAACCTAATCACCAAACCTGGGTTAGGCATAACACGCCGATAAGGCTTACATGAATAAAGTTAATAATTCAATTAAAAATAAATACATGAATAATAATAATAAAGTAAGCGGTGTTTCAACTAACTAAATAATATGTATGGCGTTAATAAATCCTTACTCCAATTCTGATTCGTAGTAAGTTAAATACAAATGATAAACCTAAAACTTCATGAAATTAATCTAGTTCACACCATTAAAGTTGTTGTTCATGCAATTTTACAATAGAAATAGCGTCTCGACAAATTACTATATCCGTCGTATCCCAGCTGGCTTGATGAGCCCTGGTACTGGGTAAAAGGCTTCGTCAGCACTGGATATAGAGATAGAGAGTGATTGACATACTGTGTTATACATTTTTCTTTACTTTCACTCACGAGTTCTTAGAATACTGTGAAGTATATCGTAAGCCACATAACTTAGTATGTGTACAACTGATAGAGTCGATGCACATCACAAACAGTGCGAACGTTTGTGCTAATTTGCTATCATTCTTCCACCACCAGAGGGAGTAGTAGTGGTTAAGTCTGGTCACAACATAAAATATGCTTGTTCACATGTCTGTTTTTGTTTTTTAACTTTGCTTGTTACAAATTATTGGTTGAAGATTTGAGTGTCAATTACTTGATTGAGTTGGCAAGTACTAATATTTCAATAGCAAGTGCAACAAAACAATGAAAACTCAACGCTAGTATATTTCACTCCTGTCATACAAAGTATTAATCGTGTACATATTACAAGAACACCATTTGATATTATGATATGGCTGAACCAAATCAGTAAATAAGTATATAGTCAAGCCCTGTTCTAACAGCATTGGATATGGATTTTATATGCGGAAACATCTGTTAGCCGAGTTATTGCACATATCTTAAAATATAACGTTGATAAACGGAAACATCGGCACATGTAGATATGTAGATTACATTAACCCTTGAGTTAAATGTATTAAAACGGAATATCATGGACCCACGACAATGTTGCCAAATTAACTGTAGAGTTAACTTTATTAAAACAGAATATCATGTACCCACAACCATGTTGCCAAATTAACCCTAGAGTTAATTGTTCAAAGTAAAACACGAAGGGATGGGCGGAACGATGGCCACACCCACTTTAAAAAACCACCAAGTGTTGTAATGTTATCCCACCCATTCCTACCTTGTTTCCTTACTTTTTGGTGCTCCCATTCCTACTTCCTAATATTTTTGTTTAAGAACCTTTTACAGTTGTCTCAGCTTTTCTGATACTAAGTCTCGAGAGTGACTGGGCTCTAGGCCTATCTTTCTTGATACTAACCCAATAACTTCTGCTAGTGTCCCCTATGTTTTTCAAACAAAATATTAGCGGTTTATCCCAGTTTTTTAATGAGTCAGTTTTTCATACTACGCATTTTAATAGAGAAACATAAAACAAAAACTGCTCCATGCAGTGCAATATGTTGATCCTACTGGGAGTGAGCAGTATAAGAAAAACAAGTCAGAAATAACGAGAGCTCATAGTGGTGTTACGGTGGCCTATAGCAGACAACTAGTCAATAACTCCCACCGCCATCACTTGGGCTACACTTGTCTGACTGGATGGGGAGAGTTAACCATCATTCTTACATGGACACAAAATACATAGCTTTATTTGTTTGTGGCAACTAGTAATGGACCATGAACCCTGGAATTCATAATCCAGGCATATTAACCAATAAGCCACGCCCGGCCAGTGGTATTGAGAATTTAACAAGCGGAAGACATATAGTCCCATACGATTGTTCACGTTGTTTAAACACTCACCTGCTATAACACTTTAGAACGTTCTTCAGACACTTAAAATACTCACGCACTATAAAACAAATTCGATATAATAGTGAGTGCCAATTTGTTGGTCTCGAATTCACTAAATGTTCGTAAGAATGGTGACAAACAACTATGCTTAGTTTTACGTAACAGCTAAAAACATTGTATCACTTCTTGAACATTTTACGAAATCTGCCATATTTCACTAGCATCATTAACGATGTCATATGTTCAGACCGTGTAAGTTTCACCATTTTTCAAAGTTTAGTGCAAGTAACGTTCGTTTATGTGTTTGTATTATTATATGATCACAAAATGTGCAACGGACTTCCATCGTTAAAGATTAAATGAAGTTGAAAAATGAAATACTTAAAAAAATTCACGAACTTTTCAGGGTAGACACGTGTGTGTGTTGGGGTAGCCTGAATTTTATGTTGTCTATCTAACGTTCTTTAATCCAAAAGTCATCAACAAAAGGCTACATTAAATCAAGGCTCGAGGATCTAGCCGTACAGAGGAACTTAAGAGACAGAGTACTGAACTAAAACAGTCAAGACAAATATACGAGTTCACAAATAACAAGTCATTATTGAAAAAAAAAATCAAGTCGAGAATCATATATTAATATAAAGACGTTACAAAGATGTAGCTGTGACTTAGATGGAAAAGAATCAGTTTTCTTTTTAATAACAATGAAATGTAACGGCTTTGCTATTCAAAGACCCTTAGAGAAGGGTCAAAAGTAAAATCTTTAACGACAAAACTATCCTTACAGAAATAGTGTTTTACCAAGCCAATCAGAAGAAGATATTTAAGACAACCCTGTAAATGTTGGGCTGGTGACAAAAAAAAAACAAAAACGTTTGGATGCTGCAAACCAATAAAGTAATAACAGGACAGCAATCATGATGCATAATTACGAGCTCCAAGTGTGAAACTCAAACCATTACAATGGAAGAAATGATTCGTTCAGAGTGAACCATTGTAAGGCTAACATTTTTGAACATTCAACAGTCATATTTCAGTAAAAAAAAGAGTAAATCCTGATTTGAGAAAGAACAATTCTTGCATCTGTTGCAAATCAAATTCAGGGATATTTTTATAACAGTTCTTAATGAAAGCACCACTTACGCTTCTTTGACAATGTCATTTTTAGTTGTTAACAGTTAACTCAAACACACACACACACTGATTCTCACGCCTTAACAGTATGTATGTCAACACGTTCTGAAAAAAAAGAACGTGAAAGTTATCTATGGCATACTCAAGGTCGTAGCAATGGTAACCACAACAGTGTAATCACATGACGACTACATCTAAGTTAATAATAATAATAATAGTCTGAGTATTTATTTCTAGTGTATTTCTGGTGCCTAATATAAAAAATTAAATTCAGGATATGATGCGGCGATTTTTTTCGAACGGAGGACACATTTCGAATATCTTTTTCCTGAGGACGTCTGGTCACCCTAACGTAAGAGTCATTATCATATTGATGCCCTCTTGCTAGTATTCAGCAAACCTAGAGCCAAATTATTGTACCAATACTGAATAGGAAAAGCCTCTTTCTCTTCTTCCAAATCATCGTTTTGTTGATTTGCTTATAAACGACGGCCTAAAATTTCCTAGGTTCATTCTGACAGGTTTTAACTTACACTTGGGGTCTGTGATTCCCCGTCTGTCTTGATCTCTTTCACAACCAGCGAAGGAAATATGCCAACGTTTCCATCGATCTCGCCCTCCCACCATCCATCGTCTACATCATGGACCACTTTTTTCAAGATCCGAATAACCTGGCCTTCCAGGAATGTCAGCTCTTCCTCACACGTGGCCTCATAATCATACAGTGCTTGACACAGTTTGTCTGCAACAAATAAATACATGCATATATTCTACTCATCTTAATAACCAGGTCTACATATCACATACACGAAAATAGTTATGTAGTACTATGAAGAACTAAAGACTACAAATTACGAAAATTGGTTATCTGCTTAATGAAAACAATTCAACTGTGTATTATTTTAGTAAAACAGACACATACATATATCATACATCTGTACTTTTAGAGTAAGAAAATACAGCCTTTCAACATAACTTGACTAGTATATGTCCAGCTAAAACCTTGTTGTTTCTACGGTGAAACTTTTCTCTCACCTTTACCACTGTGTCCAGCTAAAAACCCTGTTATTTCTACAGTCTAGATTATATTCTAACTTTGTCACTGCATGTCTAACTGAAAGTTTTTTATATGTACAGTGAGGCTTATCTTCTAGTTTGACCACTGTGAGGATATACAGTAATCGTTCTGACAATTTTTTGCTAAGCATGAGTGTTTTCTAATGACATGTTACTCAGTAATTTTTTTTTTTTTTATTTACCTAAAAGTGCAATGTTTCTTGACCGGAAGGATTTTATTTAAACGTGTAATATTTCTTGATTGGAAGAGCAATACTCGTAGTTGCACATCTGATATCACTTGATGAGACAATATCTGTTTTAATATTAATGCAAATTAAATATAGCTTTTTTTTTTTGAAAAACTCAAGTAAACTTGCAAAGGAATAGTAAAAATAGTAAATAGTAAAAAATATTAATAGTAAAAAATAAAATAAAAATTTTACACCGATAAGTTTCCTGTCTATAAAAATCTCATTAGAAATCGAGAACCCGTTTCGCTTATTTATCAAATAAGCTTTAAAAATAAGTATCTCTCAGAGTTTTAAAATACATAGTTACCACCAGAGGGCAGTGGAAGACCATCATCGATTTCCACTCTATCATGTTCTAACTGGACAACTTCAGGAAACTCTTCCGACTGATTATTACCAGCTGAAGAGAAAGAATCAGTAGTATAATCAACAGAAGTAAACGACGCGGGTGCTGGCTGTATGGATGATACAAAATTCTGGCCATCAACTATTTCTACGTAGTTCTGAGGAATATAACCTTCTTCATCTTTGTAGTTCCTTGCCTAGAAATCACAAGTTGCGTATGTTAAACGGGTTGATAATGGGCAGACTGATTACAACCCTTTCTGACACAAGATTAGTAAATAAAATCAACCCAGTTTACAAGAAGGTGCTTTAAAAATAATAATAAGAGTGAAGGAGTAAATTATATCAAAACCTCAACCTCATGCTTTTTTTATAATGAACGTTTCCACGGTCATCTGTTTCAATGTAGGTTCTTATATTTGAATCACAATTAGACCAATCAGAGAACCCCCTGTATTACTGAAGAAAAATGTTCTTGGCTACTATTTCATTAACTCTCCCAAAATCCCAACCTAAATTTGGTGCGCTGTGAAATAAACACTCAGTTAATGCTTACTTTTTTGTAGTTTATTTGTTGTTAAGCACAAAGCTACACAATGGGTTATCTGTGCTGTGCCCACTACGGGTATCGAAACCCAGTTTTTAGCGTTATGAGCCAATGGGGCCCTTACTTTTCTGAAAATTATTATTCTGATTATCACAAGTTGAAATACTATACAAAAAGAAATTATTTATCTTGTTTTTTACCTAATTACCCGCCTCTTCCCAATAAACATAATACGAAACAAACAAAAACGCTTATGTATTCCATAATAAAATATTTTTTATTGAATTTTTAACTCAATATTTTGTAATATGTTTTCCATATGAAAAACAGTTACCACAAAGATCCACCATTGTCTAATATAAAAGGCTTTCTAAATCGTATCGTTTTGGCCTTATAGTCAACCACCATTATAATTTTTAACGCCTTAAAAACATCTTCTCACCGTCACCCATCCATCTCCATCTCAAACGATCCAAAGTTATTAAATACAATATATCTCCCCTTCACCCATCCCTCTCCTTCTCTAACAATCCAAAGTTCTTAAATACAGTATATCTCCCCTTCACCCATCCATCTCCATCTCTTTCTCCAACAATCCAAAGTTATTAAATACAATATATCTCCCCTTCACCTATCCCTCTCCTTCTCTAACAATCCAAAGTTCTTATCTACAATATATCTCACCTTCACCCATCCATCTCCATCTCCTTCTCCAACAATCCAAAGTTCTTCCTGCTCCACGAAGTTCAGTTCATCTGGATTTGCGGCCTAAGGAAAGCAAAGTAAATTTCTGTGATCCTCAGCGTTTAGCTTTTATTTACTATTTTTTTCTTAAGACGTACAAGACATCGTGCGCCACCGGTTGTACATATGCATATTTTCTGTTGGACGTTGTGAGCCAACCGTAGTACACAGCACCCATAAGATATCACTGTACCTCATATCTCCAATGTCCTGTATGAGGCATTTACTGTATATGGACGGCTATTATAAAACCACGGCTTCCATCATGTACCACTGGTGAAGCACGGATGCCATTTTAAAAGGGCAACTGATATAAAACAAATTTACATGATTAAATAACTATTTATTTTAAAATTACATCTAGAGATTGGCATTAAATTTTTCATTGCGAGTAATTGAAGCAAAAAAAAAAACAAATTGAAACTTGTTTCATAAATAAGAAAACTGTTATGAAGACTATAACATAATAAGGATAGAACTATTATCATCCATAGTAGGGATTATTTTATCTGATGTCCCTTTTTTACGATCATAAAATTGTGAAATATTCATAATTCTTTTTAAAAAAACAGCAAGATAAGGCTGAAACAAAAAGAAAAAATTAAATATTATGATGATTTCATTATTATTACTTAAATCATAGTGTGCACCACCAATGGCACATGACAGCCAAAGCTTAAATGGGTAAAGACAGGACATCATGTACCACCAATGGTGCACTCAAGAGAAAGTTCTCAATGCAGTCATTCTATCATAAAACATAACATAAAGCCATAAAATTAGCTGCATCTAAGGCAGAGTCCATAATGAGGTCGGCCCGGCATTGCCAGGTGGAATGGATTGCTTTGGAATGTTGTGATTTGTTTGTTTGTAATTTAAGCACAAAGCTACACGATGGGCTATCTGTGCTCTGCCCACACGGGTATCGAAACCCGTTGTACGTCCGCAGACATAGCGCTGTGGCACGTGGGGGGGGGGGGGGGGGGCGTTCATACTGTCTCACTCACGAGGGTCTGGGATCAAAGCAAAACTTTATTTAAAATAGTCGATAAGTGTGTTTAAAAATGGCGGATACTTCATTTAAATTCGTCTGTTAATTTTTTAAGGGCAAAGTTGCACAATGGTGCATCTCCATTCTGTCTACCACAGGGATCGAAAATCGAGTTTTATTGTTATGAGCTCTCAAACTTGAGGACACTTCGTTTAAACAACAGATTTAATACTTTTTTGGTTCAGAGGTGTGTTTGACACTCTTGTCTATAATTGTGGCACGTAGGATATTGCACTTAATTTTAACTACATTTTAATAGATTAATTTGAAGATAGTGCCACAGATAATCATTTGGTTGTTTGATGTTATACGCAAAGCTACACAATGGGCTATCTGTGATCTGCCCACCACGGGTATCGAAACCCGGTTTCTAGCGTTGCAAGTCCGCAGACATACCACTGTGCCACTGGGGGGCAGCGTTTTAAGCACGCAGACGTACCGCTGAGCTACCGAGGATCACAGATAATCACATACATTTACTACGTTACTGATAAAGTTAACTTTACTCTGTATTTTTGGTAATATGATTTAGCGTGCTAATAAGGTCCCTCTCCCAATAATACGTTAGTGAAAAAAAAGTAAATACCAATTAATGTATGGATGTACGGTTTGTTTTCAAGTAACAGACCACCTTAGTGGAGCAAGTGCCACTGCCCCATAAATGCAGCCCTAGTTTGGATACACCCAATAGAAATGGAGGGAGTTCTGGTGATTTGGCACTGCAAACCATTTACCAAGCCTTCTATTAAAACGTTCTTGCCTTTCTGTAGTTCATAAGCGAAAAGTGTGACAACAAAAATAATTATAATTTTTAAAATTTCTATGTTTGAGCTAGTTTGGAAGATTTTCACTTAACACAAGTTAAGGCGTCTCGTAATCTCACCCAGGAAAGCCTTTAAGTACAGGTTTTCATTTTTTGTTTGTCTATGCTTAGTCAAGGTGAAAGGTGATTATATATAGGATTGTCAGTGGCGCCGGACACACAGTTCTTGTCAATCAAACACGATCAATCAGAGATAACAATGAAACTTCTCTAATGGGTGTAGCAAGCAAGGTAATCCATCACATGGGTGAGGAAGGAAAAACTAAACTAGAAGAATGCTTCCAGTGGGTGGTCATTTCAAACTTAAACACAGACCTAATCTCGTTAATGTATTTATGAAAATTTCTATGCACGAATTGTAGCGGGAGAGGAGGGATAGGAGGTTGAGGTGCACTTATGGTAAAAAAAAAGGTTCCTTTGTTATTCAGTCAAAATTTTGGTAATCGCTTAAAAAACTACGTTAAATCTGATTAAGTATGTACTAATACTATGAGGTTTGTCCGAAAAGGCCAAGTCCGACCTAAAAAAACAAACAAACTGTAATGTAGGATTTTTTCTCATAAATATTAAGGTTGAACTTTTTTATGAGTAAACAACACGTAACATATAACTTAACCAGTTTATTTTGTGCGTTGTGAATTATTGAAGGAAATAAATGAGCAATGCTAAACGTTTAGGAGAAGATCGAACTTCGTGTCGTGATCAAATATTTTGTTTAACAGAAAACAACATCGCAAGAAATCTACCAGGACATGGAAGCAACAATAGAAGATAGAAGAATTACCATTAGGAAATTAGCAGAGGAAGTGGGAATCGGTAAAATTACTGTAGCAAAGACTTTGAGTAAGGTTAGTACCAGATGGGTTTCAAAAATTCTGTCAATTGAGCAGAAACGGATCCGAGTTGTTGAACGCCAACGACTACTCCAGAGGTTTCAATCGAGACGTAACTATGGATGAAACGTGAGTTCACCACTTCGAGCCAGAGATAAAAATGTAAAGTTTGCAACGGATAAAAATTACCGCTGTTAGACAACTGTTGTTGTGTTTATGTGATATCATTTTTAAACCGGATAAAAATTATCGCTGTTAGACAACTGTTGTTGTGTTTATGTGATATAATTTTTAAACTGGATAAAAATTTTACCTTCATAGCATCACTTTAAAACAATATTAATGAAGTCTAAAGTATCAGTTAAAGCAATGACTCGGGCCCGATTCTAATACAAGCAGCAATAATAAAATTACTGCGCCACACTTAACGTGACAAGTTGACTCGGCTTATGAGGGTGTGCCCATGATATCTCAGCAGGTGTCATTAGTCCTTCTATATATTTATGTACCACTTGCTGAGTTCGCTTCCCCATTCAAGCTCAAAACGAAAAGTGCAGTGTTCCTATATAATAAGTGACGTGAAATCATGTCTGCCCTTAAAATAAGAAGCTACTATATATAATTTGATCAAAGCCTATGCCACTGTGGGATTTTCAGAGATTTTGAATAAATGAATACATATCATACGTTTACTTGATTAGTTCGTTTATACCGACCAAATATGGCCTGCTGGTTAGGGCACTCGACTCGTAATATGCAGGTTGCGGGTCCAAATCCCCGTCACCCAACATGCTCGCCCTTTCAGCCGTGAAGGAGTTATAATGGGACAGTCAATCACACTATTCGATGGTAAAAGAGTAGCCCAAGAGATGGCAGTAGGTGTGTTGACTAGCTGCCTTCCCTCTAGTCTATCACTACTAAATTATGGACGGCTAGTGCGAAATTTAAGACAAACCAAACCGAGCAAATGTTCAAGAGATTTTACCTGCTAATAACCAGGTGACACAATTTGCCCAGAAAATCCCCTGGTAATAAAAATGATAATAATAAATTCAAACTAAATTATTATTTGCTGAATGGATAACGTGGTCTTATTAATAAGTAGACGCCTTTTCTCACCTAAACACGCACTGATAAAGGACAAGATGTAGAATATAATGTAAATTCCAAAAAATTATAAATTACAATATTTCATAGAAAATACAAAAAAGTCAGATAAAACAATGAACAAAAAAATAAAAATACCAATGGTAGAGAAAATTTCATACAGCATATACCCTCTGTCTCCAGTCAGTGAACTGGATGTAACGATGTTTCTTGTGTATGGAAATATGATGTACGTTCGGTAAATTTACTATCATACTATGACCTTTTGTTTGTCCTGAAGAAGGGTATAGGTCCGAATTTCTGAGCTAAATAATCAGCATTAACCATTCGTTGTAACGTTCGTTAACTTTCACCAATTACCTGCTGTCACTATTTTAACACTATTTATCGAATTGTAATGTGGAGAAACTCAAATATCGAAACGACAGTTTTGAACGTCCTATTCTTAACGATGAGAGTAAAAGAACACTCTACTGTCTGCTTAAAACAAAAATAGGCTTAACATATTATAAGTTCAATGAAACATGTACACATGGAATAAGATTAGAAAATTGCTATTACTAATTAATTCCATCCGTGATTTGCCCGAGATAACTCGGGCGCCTTCCATGTTTCGGGCAAACCATTTCTAACCGTATTTTTAATTATTTGCCCGAATTTATTCGCATGTTCTCATGTATT